TCAATGTTCAGTCTTGTCATCTCTTGTTTGACCACATCCAGCTTGCCTTGATTCATGGTTCTTACATTCCAGTTCCTACGGAGTATAGATCTTCACAGCATCGGACTTTTCTTTCACCACCAGATACATCGGCAACTGAGTGTCCTTTCGGCTTTGACCCAGTCGCCTCATTCTTTCTGGCGCTACTAGTACTAGCCCTCCGCTCTTCCCCAGTAGCATATTGGGCACCTTCTGACCTGAGGGGCTCATCTTCCAGCTTCTTGCCTTTTGGTACTGTCCATGGGGTCTTCATGGCAAAGATACTGGAGTGGGTTGCCATTTCCTTCTCCAGTGGATCACGTTTTGTCAGAGCTCTCTGCTATGACCTGTCCGTCTTGGGTGGCCCTGCACTGCATAGCTCATAGCTTCATTGAGCTACACAAGCCCCTTCGCCACGACAAGACAGTGATCCATGAAGGAGTTGGGAAACAGAAACATAGAAATAGAGTGAGTCAGAAGGGGTCTCCTGGGCCATCTAGTCTGACCCCCGGCTCCAGCCGGCTCCGCTCATGGCATGTCCAGCCTGTCTTTAAACACCCTCATCAATGGGGCCTCAACCACCTCTTGTGGAAGCCCCTTCCACACCCTCGGGGTCCTAACTGTCCAGAAGTGCTTCCTGGCATCCAAATTGAACCTTGGTTCCCTGAGCTTTACTCACTGGAACACATCCTGCCCTCCTCTGCAGAGGAGAACAGGTCTCTACCCACCTCTGTGTGACACCCCCTCACATACCTGTATGTCGCCCCCTCACATACCTGTATGTCGCCAACAGATCCCCTCAGAGTCTCCTCTTCTCCAGGCTGAAGAGGCCCAGTTCCCTCAGTCTCGCCTCATACGGCATCCCCTGCAAACCGGCCACCAACCTTGTGGCCCTACGCTGCACTGACTCCAACCTGGCTATATCCTTCCTGTAACGAGGGGCCCAAAACTGAGCACAATACTCCAGTTGCAGGCGCACCAGAGTTGTGTAGAGTGGTAGTAATATCCCTCTCGATCTAGAAGCCACACTTCTGGCTATGCAACCAAGAGTGGCGTTCACCCTCTTGGCCACCGCATCACACTGCTGGCTCATGTTCAGCCTACAGTCAGCCAGCACCCCGAGGTCCCTTTCACAAGTGCTGCTCTCCAGCCACTTGTCACCTAACCTGTCCTTATGACCCCCATTCCTGTGCCCCAAGTGCAAGACCTTGTACTTCTCCACATTGAATGCCATCCTGTTGTCTCCTGCCCACTTCCATAGTCTGTCCAGATCCTTTTGGATCTGGAGTACCTGCTCCTCAGTTGTGGCCAATCCCCCGGTCTTAGTATCATCTGCTAATTTGATCAGCAGACTGTTCGCCCCTTCTTCCATTTCAATGACGAAAAATTAAACAGGATGAACTCCTCAGTTTTTCCACCAGGGTATCATGAGGCACTTTGTCAAAGGCCTTGCTGAAATCCAGGTAAATCACATCCGCTGCATCCCTGAGGAACGACTGCTCTCGGCTTCCATGGAACGGAACGGGCAGAAAATGTGGGTGGCCCGAGAGGGGGTGGCAGGCACACAGTGGAGGCGCCAGCCCCATGGTGCGCAGCTGTGCGGGGACGGCGGGGGGTGCTGGATGCGCAGTGATG